CATTCCTGTTGTCCCAGCTGGAGAGACCTGCCTGTCATTCAACCAAGTCTGACTTGGAGTCACCTGAAAGCAGATTCTAGACCCGCCTGCCATTCAACCACCATGAGACTGAGGGCAAATCATGCCCTGAGCCTTGTTTCTATTATGTCCTGTTTATTTATATCTTCCCCATCTACCTCAGAGATCCTAGATGTGAAAACACTATGGAAAGCGGCACGTGCGACATAAATATAAAACATTAGCACCACGAGGACACCAGTTTCTCAGCTTAGAGAGACGCCGATGTCACAAATGGTCATTTCTGAAGTATTCCTTCCTCAGTATTGTATCTGATCTGGCAGTTCTGGGCTCTAGTTCCTAAATCTCTGGATGGCCATGGTGACATGAGGTAGTGCTTTTTTTGCTTCTCAAGAGACCAGGGAATAAAGGGAAAACACAAAAACCTCTTCAAAGAATAAAATGGGATCTTGTCTTCCTGGGTTTGATTCCCCAAGTTTGATAATTTAGCTATTTTTAGTTGTGTAACCTGAGCCAGGCCAGAAGCTGAGGGGAAGACCAGCACAATTTCCCACACTTACAAATGCCAAAGAGATAAGTGAGTTTTTTAATCTGGGATATTTGAGGTTTTTAAGGATGTGCGTCAGTTATCTATTGCTGTGAAACAACAATTAACATTAACCTTTTTTTTTTTTTCAGTCAGGAATTTGGGAAAGGCTTAGGTGTGTTTTCAGGGATGGAGTCTCAAAGTTGCAGTTAAGATGTCAATTGGGGCGGCCCCATAACCTAGGGTTAAGGGAGCTGGAGCCCACAAAACCAACCAGAGAACTGGGGTCTCAGCCCCTGTGGCTTTAAAAAGTACCCAGAATCCTAGCAGGATGGAGAAATGGAGAAGAAAGCATTGCAGCATGTCCTGCCTAAGTGACTGGTGCCGGGGGTGTGTGTGGGTGATTTCTCCCCCTCTCTCTGGTGAGCACACATGCCCTCTGGCAAAAAAGAAAAGGATGTCAGCTGGGACTGCTATCTTGTCCTCTGAAGGTTTGGCGGAGCTGGAAGATCAGCTTCCAGGATTGTTCACTCACAAGCCTGCTGGTGCTGACTGGTGGCTGGAGGCCTCAGGTCCTCACCATATGTACCTCTCCATAGATGTTTGGATGTTTTCAGGACAAGGCAGCTGGCTTCCCCCAGAGCAAGTGATGCCAGGAACAGACAGGTGGAAGCATCAACGTCTTTTATGATCTGGCCTTGGAAGTTACACATAGTCATTTCTGCACTATCCCAGCAGGTGAGTCCCATACAGTGTGACAGGGACCACAAGAGTGATGAGAGCTGAGGATCATTAGGGCCCATCTTAGGGACTAGCTACCATGGTGTAAATGGGAAGAGCCTTGAATGAGAAGTTAGAGAACCATGGCCCAGTCCCAGATTTGTAGGCTAATCGTTTACTTTCTCTGGGCTTTAGTTTTCCCTTAGGTCAGTACTATTCAATAGAAATATAATGCAAGCCACACAGTAATTTGACATTTTCTAGAAGCCACATTTAAAAAGTGAAAGGAGGCCCTGCCATGATTGGGCTAGGGTTGCATGGGAAGCCAGTCTGAAACAGGCCAGCACGGTGGCACATGCCTGTGATCCTAGCTAACTGGGAGGCTGGGGCAGGAGGATCATAACTTACGGAGACCCTTTCCAAAAATGCGTCTCTCTTTTTATCTCTTCTCCTCTCCCTTTTCTTTTCTCCCTCTCTCCTATTAAAAAAAAAAAAAGGTAAAAAGAAATAGGTGACATTAATTTTGATATTTTAAATGAATCCAATATATCAAAAGTATTATCAATATAAAGTGATGTAAAAAGTATCATTGCGATACTTTGCATTCTTTTTTTCGTTCGATGTCTCAATTTTACATTATAGCATTTTGGAACAGCCACATGTTACAAGTGCTTATGGGTTGCATGAGGATGTATGTAGCTCATGCTGTGTCCAGCTCTGCAGCCTTACATTAGATCTTATCTGAAGGCCTCCTAGCTTCCTGGTTCTGTAGTGTCACTGACTCCTGGAAGAATAGTGAGTCCTCCTTCCCCCATCTGAAGTCTGAGTTTTGCAAATAATTTAATCAGTTCCAGCTGACAAGGACATTAGAGGTATATTCCTACCCCCCTCTTTGTGTAAAGATGAAACCAAGACTTAAGAGAGCATGTGCTCAACTCCAGCACATGAATGTCCCACTAGGTACACTGTCCACAGCTGAATACAGCACTCCTGGTGTGAAGAGACCAGCACGGGGTACAGGAAGCTGTCATTCTCTGTTGGACTTCAAGGGCACCAGTCAGCACTCATGAGCTGCAGCTGGCCTGCAGGAATATGTATGTATATATTTAAATTTTTATTTGTTTATATGCCAGAGGGTGTGTGTGCATGCACCAGCGAGCCAGAGAGCCCCAATGGGGCCTGGTCATGCCCGATTCTTTTTTCCCCAGTAGTTCATCCTATCAGGATCCTGGACATGTGCCCATACCCACTCTTCTCACCTGCTGCTATCAGGCCCAGGATTCGAACCCACTGTTGGCTATGTAGGATCCAGTTTCCTCTGCATAGCGCTTAACCTCTGCACTATAGGATCAACCCTGTATTTAAGTTTAATAGTTATCAACAGTTGAAAATAGGGCATTTACACACACACACACACACACACACACACACATACACACATAAAATGTGGTGTTCTGGCTTCTCATGAAAACTTGAGAGATCTGTAAACATTGGGCCTGCTGCTTGACAACAGCTGGCTGGAGCTGCGAATTGGGTGTGCTGTTTAAAGTGACTCTAGCTGACTGCAGCACTACCTTCCATTCCTAGCCAGCCTCTGGTTGACAGAAATGTCATGACCCTTTAGGCATTTGAGTTGGTGCCTCCTAATCTAGTCATCCCCTTGTTCTGAGATGCAGCAATGTGGCCCCTCTGTCATAACACTAGTTCTTTACTGTAGTCATGGGGAGCCTTTAAGAAAGGGCCATGACTGACTCATCCTCGTGACCTTGGCCCCTAGCCCAGGGCCTGGCACTGAATAAGCAACAGGAACTATCTGACAGTTATTGATGTTCACCAAATATGGCTCTTTGCCTTCTGGACTCATGGCAGGTTTGGACTTTTTGGCTTCCTGGTGCGTGGGTAGACCCAGGTAACAGTCCTGGCTGAGTTATGAACAGAGGTGGTTATGTCACTTCTGAGTGGAGCATTGAATAGTGGGGCCAGAGCCTTCAGAGTTTCTCTTTCCACCTTGAAGATAGTGGCTGCTTCCTGAGGGACTACAGCGAGAGAACCCCCTGATGAAGGTGGTTGTGTGTTGGAGTTAAGCCACCTAAATATGGCAGTTGTTAACTACTGCAGCCTGACTAACCTATTGTGTTAGTTTATTATTTTATTGCTAAAAAGAAACATCTTAAGCTGGGTGATTAAGAATAGAAGTTAATTTGGCTCGTGATTCTGGGGTGTGGAAATTCTAAAGGTTTGGGGCCAACATCTGGCCACCTCTGCTGCATCACAACATGGTACAGGGAAGTGGAAAGGTCAGCTAGCATGGCACGTGCAAAGGGAGAGTGACCTACGGGCAGCAGCTGTCTTACCATTATAATGACCTGCTCTCAGAACTAACCTGTGCCTGGGAGAGCGAGAACTCCCTCCCTCCCAAGGGACAGTATTAATCAATTCACAAGGGCAGTGTGCCCACTGTCCATTGGGCCTCAGCTCCTAAACACCAGTAAGTCGGGGACCAATCTTGTAGCACAAGAACCTTCAGTGGACAAACCATGTCCACACCAGAGCACCTGTCTTGACTAATATACTAGGTTTATGTTAATTAGAACTCTTGTATTTGCAAGTGTAGAAATCTAATTCTAATTTGGACAACAAAAACAAAGGTGAGAGTTATTGGAAAGCTCTTAAGAAACCCAAGTCATCTTGCCTTTCTTGTGCACTGTCATGTTTCTGTAATGTGTGTTTGCTTCATTCCATTTTACTTCAGTCTAGCTTTCTGTACTTCCCAGGCCACATAGTAGAAAACGGCTACTGCTATCCATGAATGTTGGCGTACAGTCAAAGAATATTCCCAGGATTGTAGTTTGAGCAGTTGGGTGGATGGATGGGTAGATGGATGCTGGAGGGAATGCTGGGTTAGAGAACACTGGATGAGGACCAAGTTTAGAAAGGAAGATGACGAGTCCAGTTCTTGATAAATCAAGTTTGAGACATTCATGGAAGATGCAAGTGGAGAGAGCCAAGAGGCAGTTGGGTGTATGAATCTGGAGCAAGGATGGGATGAATGGTAGTTTGAGTCTGGGAACCATAAGAGAGAGAGGAGGGCAGAGGACTGACAAATGTGAAGCACAGACCAGAGAAGAGGAGCAGGCCAAACCACCAAACTAAGACAGTAAGAAGCAGTAGGCACAGGTAGTTTCTGTTTCCTGGTATCAGGAAGGCAAAACAGGGACCCAAGAAGCCTGGTCTTTAAATTGAGAGGTGCCATATTCAAGGAGCCATACACATGGACCCTCCTCAGCTTGGCCTCATTTGGATGTTGACTCCTTACTTGAAGACAGAATAGAAGACATCGAGAGACAAGACAAGGGAGAAGGGCACTGGCTGAGGAGGGATGAGCATGGAAGAAGCCAGCTATCCTGAAATTATTCTGCTATGAGGAAGTCTAAGATGCCAAATGGAGTGACTATGCTGAGAGAGAGATTACCAGACAGCCCATACATCCCCTAGCTATCCCAAACATCCAATCCCAGTTGCCTAATACGAGTGAAGAAGCCATCTTAGAAGTGGATCCTCCAGTCCCAGCCAGCAACCTGGTACTATAGACATCAGAAGCAAACCACCCAGCCAAACAACCCCATATTGTGACCCACAGAATTGAAGAAAATGAAATACTTGTCTCATATCATGGGGTTTTGCAGTAATTCATGTCACT